CCCGCCGCCAGCCTGGTTGCCCACTCAGCCTGCTGCTCAGTTGTTTGGTTGTCCCTCACTAACCCCCCTGCTGGCCTGGTCACCCCACGCACCCTGTTTGGTCATCTGTTCAGTTGTTTCGGTTGTGATGGTTGCTTAGGCTTTTATATAGATAGATGGTAATCTCTCTCCTTTTCTGAACAAACATTGAAACTTTCTATCGCCAAAGGCCTGTAGGAAATCCCCACTTGTATGTAGTTTCTAGAGGAAATTAAACACTCCCTCCCATACTTATCGAAGAATGGAACCCATCCCAGTTTCCCAACTGGGACAATGCAGAGACCTTTCCAGCTCCTCAGACTTATATTCCTTGGAATTGTCTTTGAGTTTCTCCCTCTCCTGATTGGTTAGCTAATTCTCCTGCTATAAAGACTATCATATTCGATCTTTGTTTTCATATTTGCTGCCCTGAGTCAGACTCTCATTACTGTATGTTTAATACTAGCTCTTCAGTGCTGGTATCGCCATACTCTAGTCCATTGTAGATAACGTTTTCTAACATTTCATCACACACCGCTCCCCTGCCGAGTCTGTCTATTGCTCTTTGTGTGAAATAGAAACATCCAATAGGTGCAAGTACCACTTACTCTTCCCCAAGTACTCAACGATTTCTTGCACCAGGAGTCTTAGTTCCACCTCTGGGCTTTTGCTGGTGTGATTCCCTCACCTACATGGCTCCCTTCTCACTCTGTCTCCATCGTGGCTTTCTCCATGGCTTACCACTTTCCAGGAGCGCTGCCTGGCTAGTTTCATCACAGGATGAGGACTGCTTTTCCTTCTCCTGGAGCTCATGTTTAGTTCTGGCTATACTGATATTTTGTTTCTTACGTATTTAGCTAGTGCTACTGGTTAAAAAAGAATAATAACTACCATTTATAGAAGCCTCCTATGTGCCAGGGACTGAGAAGCCTCCTATGTGCCAGGGACTGAGCTAGGTCATTTATGAAGTTCCACAATCTTCACAAGCACACAAATAAGGCATTCATGCTCACACAGCTCAGAAGTGGCAGAGCTGGGATTTGAACCCACAGAGCCCAGGTACCATGCATGTATGTGCATAAGTACCATGCATGCATGTGCATAAACATTTCATGAACGGCAGCCTACTCTGACCAAGTTAATCAAAGGCAGTAATTTCACCTTCTTCTTTTGCATTCTCCAGACAAATAAGTAGAGCCTATGGACCCCAAAACTTTTTGTTATAGGTGTAAGCTCCAGTTTTCTCCTGCAGAATCCCTAAGGGATCACCTTATTACCACCTTTTCATTTGTGCACTGGAATTACTGTGAGGCAACATTGATTTGATTTTAAGATCATTGTTTAACATTTTTCTTCCTGCGAATGCCAACTCCGCTTTCTCTAAAGACCCTCTGGTTTAAGCCACTTTTAATGCCACTGTCCTTAGCTCTGAGGTCAAAAATTTAAAATATGCATTTATATTCCGTGCTTCACATGGCATTGTTTCATTTCCCCAACCTGCCCTTAAAGTCATCACAACAGAGGCCTCACACAAGGTAGCAGCTTCCAACTAGACTCAAAATCTGCACAGTAACATACCCACCGGCTACGAACCCATAATACACAGTTTCCTGCATTTACATGCTTTTCTAATAAGAATAAAAATGTGCCACAAGATCCAGCTGCTATTTACTGCCTTTACTTTTTTAAACCAAGGACTCCCATTTCCTGAATGCTTTCAATATTCAATATTTGTCATTTTTATGTCATTTTAACAGTATACCTGCTTCTGAAACTTTTCTCCACACATTGCCTTTGTCATTTAAAAATTCCACTCTGAAAGGCACTGAGTAAATGCAACTATTTGGTTCTTCTCCAGTCTCTCTTTTTCTTGATGTTTGTTTGTTTTTTAAGGCAGAATTTGGAGGACTAACGGGAAAACTTTCCATAACTACTGCTGCAAGCATTCTAGTGTGCCACACACTTGGCCCTTCAGCGTGATGATCTGTGAGGCCTGAAACCAACATTGGCAATAACACAATACAAAAATATTTTTTAACCTAGATCCTTACCTTTCTGCTTCCAGGCGCATCTCTTCCCGCTTTTGCCTCCTCAGTTCCCTGCGACGTTCAAAATCATCCATGGTGTGGTTTCAGGTTTAGGGAGACCAGATGATGTCTGGATCTACAGAGGAGGAGGCAGAATCAATATCATCGATGAGTCGGAGTTATTATCTCCCATGAATTGCTTTAGCCACCTCCACTGTTTTTTCATTCCCTCATTTTTTCTTTACTCTTAAGAAAAACACCTTAGAAGATGGATCCTGTAGCCACGGATCAATTTCTGACTCCCGAGCTGAGTCCTTTCTGTGTTAAATTCAGTCTCATTCATGAAACTATTTGAGGCAAATAAGTAAGATTCCAGGATTACAGTTAAAAAAAAAAAAAAAAAAAGACCTCAGGAGTCAGAGACGTTTTGAAGACTAGAAATATTGATGGGACCACTTAAGCAGTACTGAAAGGTTTTGTTCTTTGTGACTTGCTGAGCCACACACAGACAAAAGTTATGAAAGAGTGAACAAAGAGGAAAAGAAAGTTAGAGGGAAAACAGAAAAGTGGCAAGAAAGGGAACATGTAGGAACTAAGAGAAAAATAAAAGACAAATAAAATCATACGTCTACCCAGGCGTAATTTGCATATCCTAAAAGAATATTAGCATCAGAATGATGATAAAGACCGCAGCAATAATACCACGAATAAACATAACGCAGCAGCATTTTTTAAAAGCGGTTACGTTAGGATCAAGCTGTTTCCAGAGCTTAAAAGTCCCGGCTCCTGGTAACGCACGGTTTTATCCTCTCCTACCTCCTCTGTGATGGTTTTAATCCCAGAAAGATCCTCCCTTTCCAGCTCTTCAGCTGCGGAGCCCGCTTCCCCTGCGCTTCGGTGCCATGGAGTCAAGTATTCCAGAATTCCCCTGCAGCCCCCGAACCCAAAATGACTACCAGAAAAGGGGAAGCGGGCTCTTTTTGTCCTTGCTTTGTTTACAGAGCTGTCAGTGGTTAGTTAAACTCGGCCTGGAATCTGGCATTTAAGGCCTGCTTGAAGATTGTTTCCTGTGTGGAGCGGGAGGCCTCCACTTCCTCTGGAATCCTAGACTCTCTGCAGCACTCAGATCACAAAAAATATTTTCCAGCCTTTCTGTGCACATGAGACGAGCCATTTGCTCTGCGCAGGAAAATAAGGAGCCTCGCACAGCCTAGAGCCATCCCCGAGTGCAACTTGGTTGGAGGGAGCAAAACTTAGATTTTGAAGCCAAGTTGGTGCCCTTCTTAAATAAATTGTCAGGCTTTCTTCTTTCTTTTCAAGCATTCCTCTCCCCACCCCCACCCCCTTCAAAAACCCCACGCAAACAAAAACAAAACCTCAGCCAACAAAAACAAAACGATCCAATGTTTGGATGTTTCCCTTTTCTCCTCCCCCAGGGTATTACTTATACTGCTTATAAATCTTTTGGAAATTTGAATTCTGGTGTTTATTTGGGGCTTTTACATTGGAAGGTGTTTTTCTATCTTACTCCTACCGAAGGTACATTTCTAAAATGTTGCTTGATGTGGAGGAAAGGATCAATTTTCCTTTTTATAAAAAAAAAATTATTTCGTTAACCATAAAGAAACTTCTCTACATTTTCCAGCCTGGTCTCATCATAGGAATCAGAATGAAAAAAAAAAAAAAGTGAGTTGCGGGTCCCTGGGATGGGCTCCTGTTCTGGGCGCAGTGCAGTGAGAGTCAATGCTGCTCTTTCCTCTCTTCAATAAAGCCTTTTGTTGTCTACAAGCCACTTCTCAATAACTATAGCAACAGCAAACAGAAATGGGGAAAGAGGCCTGTCTGGAGGCAAACAATTTAACTTTTCTTAATTTATCCAAGTAGCTTGAAGAGCATCCTCTGAGCCTCCGCTCCTCCCTATCTGAGCTAAGCAGTCGGCCAGCCCTTTGGGAGCCACAGGGGTTCCGCTTCTCTGCCGGTACCTCCAGGGGAGGTGCTAATGGGCAGGGGAAGAAGGAGTCCGAGCCAGGAAGAGGCACGGGTGGCGTCTTGGAGGACTCCAAGGGGAGGGAGACTGACCAACCTCCTGTGGGCACTTCGGCTGGGCAGCTCCCTGGCTTTCTACTCGCACAAATTCTCTTTCTCCTCCCCATCCTTTTCTTCCCACTCCTCACCTTTCATTACTTACTTAAGTATCATTTTTCTTTTCCAATCAGAGAAAAATTCTATTCCTATCTAATTATTTACTCATTTAAATGCTGCTGATTATATATGTGGGGCACTTCAGGGGTAGGGAGAGAAAGAGAGAGAGAGAGAGAGAGAGAGAGAGAGAGAGAGAGAGAAGGAGAGAGTCAGTCTACATAGACAAGTGCCTTTCTGTGTTACCCTTTGTAGACATGTGGTGAGTCTATCTGAGGGAGAGGAGACAGCACATCTGGGTACCATGTGATGTGACTCTCCATTGGAGTGTGTGTACGTGTGTGTGTGTGTGTGTGTACGTGTGTGTGTGTGTGTGTGTGTGTATGTGTGTGTGCGTGTGCATGCGCAGGTGAAAATGGTTCTTGGTTGGTCTCACACCAGCATGGAGTTGAAGATCTTTCTTAATCCTCACACCCTATATCGCAGAACTTCTGAACTTTGCTGGCATGTTCTTATATGAGGTGAGCCACGTCTGGGTAGAATTGTGAGTGACTTCCCCACCCCTCCCTCTTCTGAGAGCAGTAGCTTCCATGTCCCCAGCTAGTAATCTCTCATTTCCTCCCCCAACCCCAGTCAAGGCCGAATTCCTTCCAGCAACATTGATTAGGAAACAGATTCTCAACCAATGAAGTGATAAAATGTCAAGGCAGAGAGATTCTTTAAACTGTGGCGCTCCTGAGTGTCACGAATGGACAGGAGCAGCCTGAAAGAGACATGCCAATGAATGGGACAGATGGGTTCTTGAAAAGTTTTATGAAAAGCTAGATTTTTGTGCTGGGGGGATTGTAGTCATGCTACTGAAAGAATTCTGATGCGACTTCTTTTGTAAAGGGGAAAAAGCACTTTACAAAGGCAAATGAACCATTACCTATTGATATATCTGTCTTTTCATTATGGGTTCTCAAATATGGGATTCTCTTAAAACAGGGCACACCAGCCCTGGCCATTTTTGCTCAGTGGATAGAACTTTGGCCTGTGGACTGAAGGATCCTAGATTCAATTCTAGTCAAGGGCATGTGTGGGAGGCAACCAATTGACATGTCTCTCTCACAGCAATGTTTTTCTCTCCCTGTCTCTCCCACTCCCTTCCACTCTCTCTAAAAAGCAATGGAAAAATATCCTCAGGTGAGGATTAACAACAACAACAACCAGGGCACACCCAGGCTGCCATAATCTATACTAATAATAGCCTAGGGCTGTCACGACCTAAATGACCAGATGGATGACAGGTCACCAGGAAGTGCATGGAGCACCTCTCAGTCCTTCCCCTGCGGTCCACGGGCTCCTATCACAGCAAGGCTGGCGGCAGGCGGGTGGGTGGGGCGGGACGGGGATCAGGCCTGAATATAGGCCTGGAGAGAGAGGCAGGTCCTGATCAGCAGCTGCTGCGGAGGCTATGGATCAGGCCCAGAGATAGGCCTGGAGAGAAAGGCAGGGCCTGATCCACAGCCATTGAGGAGACTGTAGATCAGGCCCGGAGATAGGTCCGAGAGAGAGAGAGAGAGAGAGAGAGAGAGAGAGAGAGAGAGAGACAGCTGGAATTCCCAGAAGAGTCAATGGCTGCCTAGGAGGCGGAGCTTTTGATGCTGACTGGCATAGAAACTGACCAATCAGAACCTAATCTGGGTGAACTGCAAAGGCAGGACCTAAGGTGGGGGCTGAGGAGGGGTTTTAAGGGCAACAGCTGTTTGGTGTAAGGTGTAAGAAAGTGGTTCAATTTTTTAATAACTGGTTTGGCAGTATAGTGCATATGGCTGGCTATCAGTCCAGATATAGAGATTATGTATTTTTGTCTGCAAAGAGCATCTCCTCCTGCTGAAAAAGGCCCCCCCCCCATTTAAGCAATCCTATCCTATATAATGTATCTATACTAATAAAAGGGTAATATGCTAATTAGACCGGGGTCAACTGACCCATCTTCCAGACGTCCGACTTCCTTCCGGACAAAACCATGGTGGTGGGGGCCAAGACAGAGGCAGTTAGAGGGGATCGGGCTGGCAGGGAAGGGCAGTTGGGAGCGAGATCAGGCCGGCAGGGGGTTAGGGGCAATCAGGCCAGCAGGGGAGGGCAGTTGGGGGTGAGATCAGGCCAGCAGGGAAGGGCAGTTGGGGGTGAGATCAGGCCAGCAGGTGAGGGCAGTTGGGGGTGAGATCAGGCCGGCAAAGGAGGGCAGTTAGGGTGATCAGGCAGGCAGAGGCAGTTAGGGGCAATCAGGCCAGCAGGGGAGAGCAGTTAGGGGCAACCAGGCAGGCAAGGGAGAGCAGTTGGGGGTGATCAGGCAGGCAGACAGGGAGATTAGGGGCGATCAGGTAGGCAGGCAGAAGGGTTAGGGGCAATCAGGCAGGCAGGCAGAGTGGTTAGGAACGATCAGACAGGCAGGCAGGTGAGCGGTTCGGAGCCAGTGGTCCCAGATTGTGAGAGGGATGTCCGATTGGAGAGGGTGCAGGCTGGACTGAGGGACCCCCCTGCCCCCCCTGTGCATGAATTTCATGCACCGGGCCTCTAGTTATTAAGTCAGTGTTACAGTTTTCAAATCACTTAAACACGCTGTCCTTCCTTTTGGTAATGACACTGTAAGTACTCAGTTATTAGGGGGAGAATCATGTGGTGAAAACTAAGTCTTATCTACCCTCAAATTATCGTAAACTGAATGGTGAGTGGGTGGGGGAAAAGTCTTTGGGGACAGTACCAATATTGGTCTTGAAATACATCAAGAATAAAACCTGTAGTCACAGGGACTTTGAATAAGTTAATTGAGTTCTAAAATAACTAACATTTATTGAACATGTACTATGTGCTGGGACTTTTTAAAAACTTCTATTTAAATCAATTAATTTTATTTCTTAGAGTAGATTTAGGCTTTAAAAAATATGAACAAAAAGTACCAAGTTCCCGTATATTCCCTTTCCGTCACCTCTGCCTACAATTTCTTCCATA